TCGCCCACTCGTCTGTCCTCTCGGCAAACACAACTGCAAAACCACTAGGAGAAGTAGAATGGTAAGCTCACTCTCTGGTTGCCTGACGGTAGTTAAGTTAGTACTCACGCTTCGAGATGCCAGTCGATATGGCAATGCATGATCCAAGGGCCGGGGTTATCGGTTTGGAAACGAATGGTTACGTTGTCGCTGGCTCCCCCGAGACTGACCACATCGCGGCGAACCTGAAATACCGGGAGATGTAAGAGAGATGACTCGTCACAAACGTAACCTTGAGTAAATGCAGTTGGGGAACACATACCGGGTTTGCGTAGTTGTAGGCGCTGCTACCGGCGACGCGAACCACATCAAATTCGTGCTAAAATCAGAACATTGGTCAGCACAAGTGTAAGGTGACCTTATAGACGTACACCATGCAGATGAATAGGATGTTGAATACCAAGCAAACCACCGGTGAAAGACAACTCGACGGTAGAGTTTGCCGGAAGAGTGAACACCATCCCTTCAGGTAGCAAATCGGTGGCACTCTGTGCTCCGCTCAGAATTTGAAGCAGAACGGGGACAGTAGGAGGAGTAAAGCTCTGTCCGTTGAGTGTGAACAATCCTCCGCTCTGTTAATGACGAAGGAAGAGAGATTTTTTAGACAGTCCAGTGTATGAATGGTAGCCAGACTCACGAATCCAAAGTCGAGGTGCATAGCGACGTCAACTCCGCCGATCGTGGGATCTCCGGGTGCTCCAGGGCTGGAGAGAGGCTGATTATGGCCACAACGTTGTGAGTGGCGATGAACACAAAAATAGCACTCGCGAACTCACTTTGAGGTCGGTTTCGTTCAGAGGAGCTGCGGGCTCAAACTCTGTGGTAACCTCAGGTTCTTCTTCCGAGGCTCCGACATATCGCAAGATGGCTGAGTTTATGCCGTTTACAAAGCCAGTTGAACCCGCGTTAGGATTGGCCCGGATCCCTGAAAGACGGAGATATGTTCAGACTATTATGCTGTGTGTGATCGCAGTTCGTGCCACAACTTACAGTAATTTCCGACGGCTTGGTTGGCTTCCATCTGAAACCAGAATCAGAATTGTGCGAGGAAGTGGATATTGTATCCTCTAAAAATACCCACCACGAGTGAATATCGTTGGCCAGCGAAGATGGTTACCGAATCCGCAGTCACTGGTTCGTGGTTGACGGAATCTGCTTCGATAACGGTACTAGAAACAATTGCTGGGTATACTGGACCAGATGGTAAAATATCTCAGTGATACTCACAAGGTATGATTTGAGATGTAGAACTCGTAGGCCGGATCGCAAGCAGCATTCACGACACGGAAGCGGTATCTATGGAGGGAAAGCACGTTGGTAACCTTTAGAATAGGAGTAGACTGGGAAAATGTACCTTTTCCCAGACTCGACAGTTATGACTGCCAACGACGAAGTCGCGTTGGCGTCGCTCCAGCGACCGAGGCCGTTGATGAGGGTAGATTGGGGTGTGCTGTACGATGGAAGAAAATAAGCCTCCAATACTTACGGATAAAGAGATCAAGAACCTACCCGAAGGCAATCTCCTTTGCCTTCGTGTGATACCAGTCCGCAAGGGTAATGACGGTGGACTCTGCGAGACAAGCATTTGAGTCGGCTGCTACCACGACAAAGGAAACAAAGTCTTGCCATCGTCAACATCGTAGAGACTAGCATTAGGATCATCGGGGTCGTAAACAACGATCGGTCCCCTGAGACCATCACAGTACTGGGTTGCTAAGAAACACATCAGTACATCGTGTGAAAATGCGAATAATCTCTCAGCTCACAAAGATGAGAGTGGTACCAGAACGTTCCAGCCTGATCTTGAGCTTTGAAGTCGTAGAGGAAGCTATCGCCTTTTGCAATCGGACATTGTGACACGAAGGCAACACCATCGGCCCAGGGACTATCTCTCTGGAAGAATCCGTGCCAGTGCTACCAGAATTGAGGGTATGAGCGAATTGAACTGGGACTCGACAAGAAATACTTGCAATACTCGTAGACTGCAACATTGTGTCATCGTCCAAGTTGTTGACGACGTTGAGCTGGAATTCGTCGCCCTGAGACGTCGAAAATCAGTGATTCTTCTCGAATCCAGGATTAGGAGGCAAAGAGCTAACCTTGTTACCGACGATGAGTGGGCCAATAGTGCTGTCACCGGCAACAACAGCGCCACGAGTGAAGCCATCTGGAGAGACATCCTTGTTGGTGATGACCAGGTCAGCTACAGGACCGATTGAGGCGAAGACTGGCGATGCCAGAATGCAAGATAGTGTAACAAAGGAAGGGAAGAGACGAGGCATTTCGCTTGTGAGGTGGGTTGGTTTGTTCTGGCAGGGGACTAGAGGTGAACTTTTATACTCGAGACACTGTAGGCGAAAATTTGTCTCACGTACAAAACTGTGAACTACGCTTGAAAAATAGGAGGACAACGAGCTCTGGGAGGAATTGAAATTACCTGTATGACAAGGCCGGGCCACGGACAACGAGAACCACCACAACAGGTATTTTCTGCGAGATATCCCTTGGAAACAGACTAAACCCAGTCGATGTGCATCAGTGCCTTGCGAAACATAAGGGTTCAGTGGACGGTCGCCTCTGATTTTTGCGAGCTCTCGCAAGCCGCAGTAACGATACGGTGTCCAATGAGAGGAGATAAATATAGATTGTGTAGATAACTGCTGTTGAATTCTATTCCTTGCTCGCTGCGCACAGGAGAACAGCATGCAATAGAATTGACCTGCCACTCCTGTGATCCGTTCTTGTAGCGCAGCAGATTCTAGAATCAAAGCTCATATAATCAGTAGGCATCACACTCGAAACGGCTGAAGTATCAAGTTTGAAGTATGAAATGAATATGAAGGGAGATAACTTCTTTCCTATACAGTTTCCTACGAGCTCGGACGACTTGACGTCCGAGAGCACGGCCTGCGGTCAATGGTTAAAAATCGCAAAAGAAAACATCGTTGAGAGTTTGGACTTCAAACGGACCTCCTAATTCGTCTATCCGAGCCTTCAAGGCAAAATCCATAAGTGTATCGGTGGAAATTTGTGGCGACTTGCGGGACTCGAAAAGTACAGCCGTTGCGATACATCGTGCAACTTGGAAGAAAGCTTGTGTCACTACCGGCATCAATTCAAAAGTATGAGCCGACACTCGGGCCGAGTACAATCTCACGAGTCCGTGGAAGAACCTCCGAAGCCTCGGAATCCAAAGCGTCTCGTCCAAAGGCAAAGCGTTCGACCTCTCTACCTCTCACCCCAACTTTCAACATTTTCTAGCCACTATTTTGATTTTTATTGTCTTGTTACCTTATCTTTTATACCTATGGGGCACAGCGAATAAAAAGATCTCTCTCAGCGGAACCGTTGCATCAAGAGGGAATCGAACCCCCGGCGGGTCGACGCTTCCAGTCAGTACGCGAAACGCATGGCAACGACCCAGGTTACCATTACCCCATTGATGCTCAGTGGGAAAGCGGCAATCAACTTTCACGATCCCATCAAGGGGGCCTTGATTTGCAGTGGTCTCGGTATTCCTGCTGAACCGAAAACTGCTGGAGCATATCGAGGGGCTGATTGACCGCCCCTCAAGATGGTCTGTGCGTTTAGCTTCTCCACTTTGATTGGGAACATGGGGTTCTCCCTTTCTTTTTTTCCCCACTCCAACTTTCATAGGCTCTCGGAGATATGGGATATCTCTCGATAGCAGGATTTCTGCTCGCACAGCAATCATTAGTCAAGTGGAAATGGTGGTTTTGACGTTAAGTTGAGGTGCGTCTTTGGCCTCTCGACATTCCTTTTATTCTCGACACTGACTGACGTATAGCCTCGACCGGTGCATCCAAAGACGGCCACAGTTCGAGGGAGGGGAAATTAGCTACTTAGTTGGATCTCAAAAAGCTCTTGCCCGCCGAAAAAAACTGCTACCGACCGATGATACCGCGTTGTTCCTGGAGTTTACACTTACCATGCTCTCGCGATGATCATCCGTGCGTCTTTGATCTCTTCAGTTTGGTCCTTGCCCTCAAAGTAATTATAGGTTTAGTACTCTCCACCTCGCTACGGGCGCGTGTCTTCTAGTCATTGGAGAGACGACGGCGAGCGAACGTTTAAGGTACACATTGGGTGGACAATATCGGTCATCTCTCCCTCGTTTCTCGAAAATCCTTAGCTCCCTTCGGCATACCTCCTCACGCTTTCATGATAGCCTACGCATGCCTGTGGTTTCCTCCGTTGTCTCGGGACACTGGACCCTGTGTGCCGGCTCGTTCCACATGTGGCTTTATCCATCCTGTTCATCTTGGACTGGTCATGCTTAATCTACCTCTATTCGATTTATTCGACCATCTCACGTTTCCGTGTTTATCAGTCATTCTCATCTGTACACCCTGGCTCCTTGTTGTCTGTATGGTCGGATTGAAGAGGTTTCTATTAGTTGCAATCCGAGTTTACTTACTACTAGTACTGGAACGCATTTGCAGGTAAATAATAGTATCGTCGAAAATCCACCTTGATGATGGTTTGAATACCCGACATCGTCTGTTGTTTCCCCCGCCCCCCCTTCGGCCGTTCCTGGGTGAGTATGTGCTCAGAAAAAGACTGTATTTCAGGGAGAATACATCCAGAATTCCCGAATAACCAACCGGGTCCAGTAGATCCCAGAGTAGGGAGTTCAGCTCGTGTGTTTCTTGTCTCTCTCTGACAGGAGGGGGAGGAATCTGGACGTGTCGAGTCACGTAGCCAGCGCGTAGGTAGGATTAGACTCGGGGAGGCCCTTGCCTTGTAATTTTTCTCGAGATCGGTCGTATCAGTTAAATTGGTGAAAATGGAGTACCATTCCGTTACACGTAATCACCGCTTGGAGTCTTCGCGCCTTTGCATGGGAGGCGACATGTTACGCTCGAAGCTAGACACTGAAATTGGACGAAAACAAAAGGAATTTTCCGCTGCAAAGAAGAGAGCAGATTCAAAACATTCACTGCATCAAGAGGGAATCGAACCGCCGGCGGGTCGACGACGCAAAGGAGAGGTAGAATACCCATGGCAACGACCCATGTTACCACTACCCCATTGATGCTTTTGAGAAAACTGACCAATGCAGTTATATGACTTGATGTCGTTCACCCGGCGGAGGTTTGATATTGTGCAAAAGATCGTTGTCCAGCCTCAGATATTAGGATTCTTGACTATCCTCTGAGTAAGAATTTGAAGCTGGGCCCTCGCTTGTCAACAATTCTGAATGACGATGTGTTCGATTTCTCTCCATCCAAACCGTCACTATGCCCGCTACTCGTGGGCACCGGGGAGTGCAAGACCGATGCGTTCTAACCATGAACGTGTTTTAGTTAAGCTTAAGCAGCGCTTAGGATGATTAGAATACGTTAAGCCACTCGTGTCGCGCAATAGCTCGTTCAAGGAGATAGAATATCTCCAGCTTGGTATTGGACACACGTAAGACATTCACTTCTCGACAACAAGATCAGGGTTGTCTATGAAGGCAAATGAAATCTGGGAGGCTGGGCTAATTAATCCTAGAAACTGTGAATTCTGAGGTGCATCTGAGTATGTTCATGAACTTGCCGGACTCGGGAGCCCATTTCTCTATCATACGTTACCTAGTATTTGCGCCGCATCATCGCGATTCCTACAGTTACAGTACAATTCTACGAACGTCTTTTGTTACTTCTGCAGACCTTGGTCAGTCAACCATTTGTTGCTGATCTATACGAGACCATATGGATGACCGAGAGACCAAATAGATGGAGAATGGTGCTCAAGATCGTCAACCTTCTCAAGCAAAGCTTCAGTTGAAGACGCGTGAGGTAAGATCCAACATAAATCTTGTGGCTGGACCAGGCTCTTGTTGTACTTCGAATATCGTTCTCACTAGTCCTGATGAGAGGTGAGTCTCTAAGCAATTAGGGGATGAGGAATATCCAAATCACTGTTGAGTCGGGCAACTTGGATCGTTCATCCGGAATTCGGAAGTTGTTTCGTTGATTCCGAACATGGTTTATATGACGGGTTTCACAGCTCAAGCGCTTATCGACATCACCCGTTGATGCTGCGAACCGGAAGGGTTATTGTATGAGTCTTCAGATCTCAGAGCTTAGCCATCACGAAATCAATTCGGCTCCGGAAATGGAGAGGCTAAAATGACCTCCCCTCAAGGTGGTCTGTGCGTTCAGTTCTCCGCTTCGGGACGGAGGATCTTCCCACCCTCTTTTTGTTCCCAGAATCTCTATCACAATTTGTGATGCTGCTCCTCATGTCCAATGACGTCCCGAAAAGGTTTCAAAAGCGTTCAATCCTCATTCAGCGCTTCGACGCGTCTTGGTTTTCATCTTACCTATCATATTACCGACACTGACTTCGTTCCAATAGTGGTACAATTCCTCGTCACAGGAATAGGGACGGCCAACGTTCAGGAGAAGGATGTAATCATGCCTATTGATTCGTCTGCCTGGTTGTTTGCGTTTACACGGGATGCCTTTATTCGCCTGTGACCCTCGGTGTGTCTGTGGTCATTTTGATTCATTTCTCCCCCATCTTCATTCCCGTTTTACGGTGCTCTTCCGGTTGTTGTACTGGAAAGTGGACCCGGTAACTATCTTGCGTTCAGCGGCTGCTGGTCTACGGCATCAAGGTACCTTTCCGATTACATCTCGTCTGCATGGTTTCGGAGTCTGGCCTTCCATACGCTATGGACTCATGTTGCCGTGTCAGCGACATCCCGTCACTTTGTTTTTGCGTTCTGCTAGCCGTACCTCTGGTTTTGATATTCTATCGATAGTTGATTCTTACCCCCCAAGCTTTACGCTCCAGTCCATGCTATAGCGGATCTCTACTGCCCATATATGCAATGATGTATATCCTACTCGTTCGTCGTCCTATCCATGCGGTTACCAGTGTCAACAAAACGGAAAATAAAGTGGGTTCTATTGCACTACAATTTGTACACCTTGAGGTAGACTCAACCGGTGGGGATAGGCCCTTGAAGTTTTAAAATCATACTTGCCAGAGGTGGGACTGCTAAGAATCATCAATTCCAAGAGCAAGACATCCAATGCAGCGACGAATAGAGTCTACAAACACAGAAAAGAGAAAGGCAGTCAAGTTCCTTCTAAGATCGACGGAACCGGAATTGAGTCTAGTTTTGGCTTTGAGGTGCTAAAAAGACATGAGAGACATACTGGATTCCGTTACAGGGAATCGAACCCTGGGCTATCGCGATTCATTATACATAGATGAGAGGCGATAATGTTAGCCACTACACCATAACGGACGCTTTTATAGTACATATAATGGCCCATCCTGTAGGGGTGTGGGTTCATTATTGATGATGCCGGTACGCTCGTGGATGATAGGACCATGTTTTTTGAACCAGCAGCAACACTTAGAAAACGTCCTTGTCCGCATTCGTTGTGTTCGGGTCGGGTAGCCTAGTCCACCAGTCGTGGTTCTGAGTCTTCTTGATTCTTTCGAGCCCATCACCAACGCATCTGACACGTCTCTCTTGGCTCGTTTTCGACTTCTACTGTCGCTCTCCTGAGTCAAGATTTCCGAGTAATCTAGAGATGGGAAAACGTTCAAATCAATTCATGCTCGGGTAACTTGTTACTTGAGGCATTCGAGCTGGTTGGGAGATTGTTTGGCTGATTTGAAGAACCCGATCTCGTGCGACTGGTGATTAGAAAATAGGCCCTCGGGGAGGTGTGCTACCTTGTTATGGGCCCATTCGGGTGAATGGTTCAGCTTAGGTTTAGCTTAATTTACCCTCGCTGTCAACCGTTCAAGCCTCCTCGATACCACTAAGGTAGACGACATACAAACGCAGCCAACCCGACACAGTGTATTTAGGCAAATTCTAGACAAAATTCATGTATCATATTTCAGACGTACTGTATGAGAAATTGGGCTCGAAAAGTTCTGGGGATTGTTTGTCCGATCACGAATATCCAAAAATCTTGAAGAGCAGTTGAGGTTTCGACATGTAGTGGCAGAAAGACATAGCAAAGCTTGCACTTGATAATAATTGATTCATAAGCCGTGGGAAGTCCGCGCGTGCACAAGAGCAGAGCAGTATTTCTGCCACTACATGTCAAAACCTCAACCGCTCTTCAAGATTTTTGGATATTCATGATCGGACAAACAATCCCCAGAACTTGTTCGAGCCCGATTTCTCATACAGTACGTCTGAAATATGATACTGATCCATTTCGCTCAATTCGTATGGGGGTTTGGATGTGACAAAATTCATTGACAAAGGGGATTCGTATGGACTTCGTGTGACCAGTGACACCCCAAAATTTTTCGTATGGACACCCAGGCAAAGGCAGCGGGACGAAGGAGAAAAATCAAAGTGATTGGGATTTGAACTTGCAACCTCAAAGGCAATGGCAAGGGACGAGGTGGAAGGGAAGAAAAAGCAGTTGGCAGTGCTACTTCACCGGAAATCGGGCTGCCCGAAATTCTGGTCACATACCCGGACAATTCGTATACACCGCCAGAATTCGCCAATCTTGGGCCAAGATGCCCTATTTTATATTGTAACCATGTTGATACAAGCTTTGTCACATAATGGCCCAAGATGCCCCCAATATAATCGAATTATATGGGCCCCATCCCTTTCCTGTCAATATGGCCCGGATCTTGTCACCATCTTGCCGCAATATGGGTCCCATATTGTCCCAAGATTGAACCCATGTTGGTACAATATTGACGACCCGGATATATCGTCCGAGGTGCCGTGACCTCCAGTTGCGAGTCGCGCCGTGTCGCGCAGTGATTCTCGAATGCGGAATACAGCACTAAAATCCTGTTCTAGTATACAATTGCGCACCTTCCTGTCTTTGAACTGACTGCCAATCAACCCTTTGAACGCAAATACACTGTGATTCAACAAGAACTATTGTATATACAACCTCGTAGCTTCCAGTAACGAATGAATCCTTGCCCTGCATCAGACATGCAAAAGTCCCGAGGTTGATGTAGCATAGAGTTTTCAAACAGCCGTGATGATGTACAGAGACGCAACCACAAAGATACTCTGTCAGGATATACAGAATGACACAATGCGTAGGTAGGAGATGGTGGGGTATTGTGGTACAAACAGTAGCGGGGAGGGTACGGTGCGCGGAACGTTGTGAAGGAAGGAATGTGACAATCAGAGACAGACTGAATATTGTGTCCAGACGGCTTGACGAAAGTGCTGCCAAATCTCGTCTCTTGCTTGCTGCTCGAGAGAGTTGCTTCCACGCTGGCGATCAAGGGATGCGGTTCCTCCACGGCCAACCCATTCTACGATGAAAGGTCCTTCGAGTTCAATGGCGGGATCCCAGTTCGTCCAGCTGCCGGGTGGAAAATGGGGGAAGGCTGCGACGAATGCCATCCAATAAACCTCCCGTCCCCACTGCCAGTCCTCTGTTTTGCCCCTTTCCATCCCAAAGCGGCCCATCCATTCTCCTATGCCCTTGTACACGTCGGCCCACGATTCGGTTGACTGGTGGTCGAATGACAATGGAAGCTCCAGACATGGGGGGTCGGGAACTTGAGAGAGAGAAGGCGGGTTCGGAGAGTCGGGGCGATTATTTTCTGCCAGCTTAGTAGGAAGTCAGATGGCGGTTCATGTTGGAAAAAGGAACACTGACCTCGGTTTTGGCTTGTGTCTCTGGATCAACTACATCTGCAAATTGGTTCACCACCGGCTTGAGAAATGAGCAGTACGGTTCTGGAAGCGAGAGAGAGATCTGGAGAGGCTAAAAGACCTTTGTTTGAGAGAGGGAATCCGAGGTTTTTACTGAGACGACATACCACTTTTGTATCAATCAGTTCGGGGGGCAAGTCGCCCTTGAGGGTGATGAATATACTTGGAAAGTGCCGAATAGGCTGAGAAATCGTATGGTCAAAAGAGTGTTCGGTTTTGAGGAGAAGAGACATTGGAAAGATGCGAGGAAGAAACTTGCGGTTGGAGCGATGTGAAGTCCAACGTCACGAGTCACACACGCGGAAGTCTCGCGCCCACGGGGTGGCGGGCCGGAACATGCGACTCCCATGCAAATCGCAGTCCGACCGCACCTCTGCTCGTTGCTCCCAACATCCTGCCCCACTGTTTGATTGTCTTTCATCAACAACTCAAAGAAAAGGATTTAGGAGCAGATGGATGGTGACCCAGGTATGTTGCAGATGATTCTCAATGAAATATCATTGAAATCATGTGTTCAGCATTCCGGATTGTCTCATACAATGCACGCCGACCCACTGAGGACTTATTGGAGTGTTTGATTTGCCAAAAAGATGGTGGAAATTACCTTCAAATCTCCCGGAAGAACTGGATCAGCCACTCAAATACCTGGAAACACAAAACATACCAGGAGGAATTCAATCAACAAGAGCTCATTTTGGATATTTCTCAGCCTGCCCGGGACCTGCAGCCTCCCCCACTGAATAAAGTGTCTCAGCAATACTCCTTTGAGGAGAATGATGAAGTGATGACTGATGATCTATGGTCCCCTGTTCATGAGGCTCATGAAGGAGAGCAGCCGGAGGAGGAGGACCTCGCAGAATGTATCCGTGCTTTGGCCTCCCAGCAACTTTCATGCCAATTCCCACCAGCTTTTGCTTCAGGGGAGTATTCTGAGCTGCCAGATGGGGGACAGGAGGATGAAGGGGATCATGAGCTTGAGGATGAAGGTATGTCAAGTGATTATGTGCTTTTCGGACTAAGCCAAAAAAATTGCACAGGACAAAACACCAGTCAACCCTCAGTCGTCACGAATCCAGCATATCCATGGCCTTCAATGTCGGTCTGTAATTTCCATCTGCAGCCCCGATTGCTCCTCATTTGATTTTTGTAGATGTTTTTAACTCAGTTGTTGTTCTCTGGGTCTGCCAGAGTACGATTTTCTGAATCACAGAAGCAAGCAGTCCTGGAATGGGCCAAAGCTCTTGGCACTCAAGATGTTCCTACTTTGAGTGCGCTCAAGAAGGCTCAGGAGTCAATTGAGAAGATGGTTGGACAGCCAACCGAAAAAGTCGTTTCAAGCTTAGGCACTATCTTCTACATCAATGATGTCGGGAAAGCCATTGCCAGGGTATGTTTCTACCCGAGAAATTTTATCACTGAGAGTCAATCCATGACCAATAGGACTTTGCAAATCCAATCACACGCTTGGCAATGACAGAGTATCCTCAAGATGGTGGGGAAGGTGTATCGGAACTCAAGAATGGAGATAAGTGGCTTCTTGAGCTTCCCCGAGATCTCCTGACTGTCACTGCTCGTGTCAATGGCAAGATCTACTTCACCGGAGAGCTTCTACAGTGTCAGGATGGCAGCTACTTCATTCCAGATCGCTTTTTTACTGTGCCACAACCCAGTAATAATGGCACACCTCCTATTGACACCTTGTTTGCACTAGGGAACACTGTAGAAAGAACCATGGTCAGTACTCCTGGATCTGTTGCTTCAACGTGACTGACAGGCAAGATGGATCAGAATGGTTTTGTTGTCATTGAGCCAAGAGTCTATATCCCTACGGATGGATTTAGTAAGACCTTTGAAGACCTGAGCAAAGCAGGTCATCTCACATGTGGTTTTTCTGGTGCGGACTGCATTCTACTTATATAGTACGCACCTGATCCAGTTCATTCAGAATGTTCAAAATCTTTTGAGGGTCATATGCCACATCCACAACGAGATTCTGCCAATGGATGAATGGTATACGGTGTTCCTCTTATCATTTTTCTTGATGATGTCAGTGGAAACATCTCAAAGCAATGGAACAAACATCATGCTATTTATATGTCAAATGGACTGCTTCCACGACAGATGATAGACAAGGAGTTCTGTACAAAGTTTGTAACATCATCCCCTCATGCAACACCTATGGAACTTGTGAAGGCTTTGAAAGACAGTATCGAGTATGTTTTTTTATTTTTATTGCATTGACATTGACATCTAATTACCATCATACAGGAAATCAGCTGAGCGTGGGGTCAATGCTTTTGATTGCAAGCATGATGAGGAGTGTCTCCTTGTCCCCCATGCTCACTTTTGGGGCAGCGATAACCCCATGCAGGCTGAGGAGTGTAGCCAGGCTGGGCTACAATGCAATTTCTTCTGTCGCACATGCGAGGTCGGTGGAACCCAAGAAGTCAAACGAAGTGATACTGGTTTTATGTCTCTATTCCAGGTGATGATTGCTTAATCTGATTCAAATTGATTCTGATTAATTTTCATAGTCTGGTGTGCTTCGGACACCTGAGAAGACTGCAGAACAAATTCGC